TATTTATTTATTTAGTACAGAGTCTCACTATGCAGCTTGGACTTGTAGTGATCCTCCTGTTTCAGCCTTCTCAGTGCTTAGATTACAGGAATGAACCACCACACCTGGTTTTGGCCAGCATGGCTTAGGGCCCACATGGCATGTGGTACTGGGAATCAAACCTGGGTTCTTGCACTTCCTAAGCAGGTGCTTAGACTGCTGAGCTATGTCCTTGGCCCATGCACAGCCCCTTTGATTAGAAGGAGTACAGAAAGGCCCCGGTTGCTGCCCTGTGTCCAGTCAGGGAGCTCCTCTTCCTTCTCTCTGAGCACAGAGTGCTGCACGGTGCTGGGGCTGAGCTTGGGTCCCAGGTTGCCAAAGATGGCCAAGGAGAGGAGGGCTGGTCGTTGTCAGATCTGGTGCACAGGAAGTGAAGGATTTACTTCCCTAATTTGTAGTATTTATTTCTACATGAGACAACTCCACATAATGGAGATTAAATGAGAAGATTCATATTTATATGATGAAATCATAGCATTCATAAGAAAGATACCTTCAAAAAATGTACAAGTTACTTTAAAATGCATGCACGTCATGTTTACTTATCAAGTGAAATTCACGTGTATGAAAAATGAAAAAGTTACTACAAACTAAGTGTAACAGAGAATGCTTTCTTGAACTTGGAGACTTCACTGCAGCTTACGCCTTGCAGGGTCTGTTTAGGTCCTGTGATGTTAATACAGAAGGGAAACTCCAAAGGCCAACAGGAAGCCTTTACTGCTTCTTCTCTGCACCTGTTTGTGAGGCTCGGCCTAGTTCTCCCTGAACTATAGCGCCCCCTACTGGTTCTGATCGCCCCTGCAGGGAGGTTTGCGTCAGGCTTCACACTGAGGTCCCCTCACTGTGTGTTGCACAGTAATACACAGCCGTGTCCTCGGTTCTCAGGCTGCTCATTTGCAGATAGAGCGTGTTCTTGCTGTTGTCTCTGGAGATGGTGAATCGGCCCCTCACGGAGTCTGCATAATATGCATTAGCATCACTGCTATCGATGTCTGAGATCCAGTCTAGTCCTCTTCCTGGAGCCTGGCGGATCCAGCTCATGACACAGCTACTCAAGGTGAATCCTGAGGTCACGCAGGAGAGTCTCAGAGAGCCGCCGGGCTGCACCAAGCCTCCTCCAGACTCCACCAGCTGCACCTCAGCCTGGACACCTGTGAACATAGAGACATCCCAATAAGGAAACTGTCCCACATCCACTATTGAACACATTCATGTCCTCTGACGCCACAGTAAAATTTTTTTCTAAATAATTTACATTTTAAAATTGCAAAGAGGAAAACCCAGCTCAGCGCCAGCTCCATGGTGAGCCGTCTGTTTTCTAGCCTCATCACTGAGTGGGAACAGCTTGGCCTCCAGGACTGGCTCCTCTGCAGAGCTGCAGGGTCAGGGCTGGCCTGGTTTTCAGCAGCAGCAGGAAGCCCTATTTGCATGGCCTTCTGCAATATAGACAGCTCTGGGGATGGAAACCTCACACAGGGCTGTGTCTACATCAGGTGTGAGTGTGTTGGGGACGTTTGCTGTCAATCATTTCACTGCAGACCATAAGGAAACTCACTGTAAGACACTGTCGTGGTATTTCTATCTCTTTGACTACTGATATATTTCCTGTTCACATAGCATACATTTTTCTCTTCAGTGTGTCTGCTTTAAAAATATGGAGCATTGAGTCCCAGCCCAGGCGCAGCGTGGGCCGGACCCTCTCCCAGCCCCTCGGGCCGCCCCCCACCACTCCGAGTGCCTCCCCCACCCCGCCAGCCGAGTACGATTTTCTGCCGTGTTCCGGGAGCCCCCAGACCCAGTCCTAGCCCAGGTCCGGTG